TGCCACAACTGGCCAAAGTGTTGTTTGGTTTATGTGGTCCAAATCTGCCAATGCTACAACTGGCCCAAGTGTTGTTTGGCTAATGTGGTCCAAATGTGTCAATGCTCCAACTGGCCAAAGTGTTGTTTGGTTTATGTGGTCCAAATGTGTCAATGCTCCAACTGGTCCAATTGAGGTTTGGCTAATGTGGTAAAAATGTGTCAATGCCACAACTGGTCCAATTGAGGTTTGGATAATGTGGTCCAAATGTGTCAATGCTCCAAGTGGCCCAATTGAGGTTTGGCTAATGTGGTCCAAATCTGCCAATGCTACAAGTGGCCCAAGTGTTGTTTGGATAATGTGGTCCAAATGTGTCAATGCTCCAACTGGCCCAATTGAGGTTTGGCTAATGTGGTCCAAATCTGTCAATGCTACAACTAGCCCAAGTGTTGTTTGGTTTATGTGGTCCAAATGTGTCAATGCTCCAAGTGATCCAAATGTGGTTTGGTTTATATGGTGTGTCCCATGCATGGACCACTTCCGGCCACCAAAGGGATGTCATTCATTGCTGTATATCAAACGCACTTTGTGGGCCAGACAAATTTTGCTATGTGGGCCATGTGTATACTCATTAAGTACCTGCCAAATACCCAATAAGTAACTGGTACATACTGAGCAACTCTCTGGTCTGTACTCAGTATGTATCTGGCTGTATTCTGATTCTGTACAGGTCAAGTTTAAAATACTATCACCAAAATTTCCTGTTTTTATCAGGTGGCCATTTTAAAATACACAGTATTTAATAGTATCTTTTACCGAAGCAGCACCATGTATCCCGGTGTGGCCCCACAGGCAGACAGAAATGCTCCCACCACAGATGTCCCCATGTAGAATTTGAACTGTCTATCACATTCGCTCTTCCTGGGACACTGGCCCAGCACAGCTGACATGTTCACGGCTTTGTTCATCGCATCATCAATGCAGGTGCAGTTGTGAAACACCTGGAAAAAAGACCACAAGGAGACTTCAGTCATTTCAGTAATTTGGTAATTTTGTCTTGTGTGTTTAAAAGGCTCACGAGTTGAAGCTTTACCATAGCTCTGCCGGTTCCAGTGGAGGACTGACAGCCCGCCAGGCAGGGCGAGGCGTACGTCATGCCATTGTGGGCACACACCGGATCCCAGTGTTTCAGGGAGCAGGAGCAGCCCGCGTTGCACTGGGATATTAACGTCTGCTGGTTGTAGGACACATCTGGATACCTGGTGCACAAAGGGGTTAGACATTAGTCAAGCTAAACGCTCTTAAAGTGATCCACGATTAGTTGTAACATTAGACTTTATTTGATAAACATAATTAAACTGTAAAATAAAGACTGTAAAAATACTGTAGGCTGTTTAGTTTTGTAAATTAAAAAAAATTATTTTAACACGGACTGAGCCATTTTATTTACACGCAAAACATTCTGGGTAAATGATGATGTTGATAGGTCCTCGGTGCGAGGCTGCTAGCGAGCTATATCCACCCTGAAGGTTAATCTTGGACAATATCTGATGATCGACTCTTTTAAATGAAACCAGAGAGCGTTGACAGAGAGGAGAAGGTAGAAATGACTCAGCCTGGAACTGAAAWTATGGATGGAGGACAACAGAGCTGCTTCATGGAAGAAGAACCTCAGCTTAGCCTGTTAGCTTTAGCCCCGATGCTATATTGCCTTATATGTATTAGCTCGGTGCTAGTGCGACAAGCAAACAAGCTAAACTGAGGTCCTCCATCCACATTTTCAGCTGCAGACCGAGTCATTTTTGTGTTCCCCTCTCTGTCATGTGGATGGAGGACCTCAGTGATGAGAGGAGAATGTATAGCGCTGAGCTAATACATATTTATGGTGATAGCCTCGGGGCTAATGCTAAAGCTAACAGGCTAAGCTGTGGTTCTTCTTCCATGAAGCAGCTCTGTTGTCCTCCATCCATATTTTCAGTTACAGGCTGAGTCATTTCTACCTTCTCCTCTCTGTCAACACTCTGGTTTAATTCAATCTTGGTCAGATATTAACCAAGATTAACCTTCAGGGTGGATATAGCTCGCTAGCAGCCTCACACAGATAACATCGTCGACGTCATCATTTACCCAGAATGCTTTGTGTGTAAATAAAATAGCCCTGTCCATGAAATATATTTTAAAAATTTAGTTTAAAAGTGATAAAAACTAAACACCATTTTTACAGTCTTTATTTTACAGTTAATATAAATATTTATCAAATAAATTCTAATGTTACAACTAATTGTGGATCCCTTTAAGGGTGCCATAAGGATCAAATGTTGTAGCACCACTCACCCTTTATATGAGACAGTGAGCCCAGCCACCTCAGCATTGTCGCAGTGAAGGAAAATCTGGATGGACATGCACAATAAGGCCCCCATCGCTGAAACCATGCACAACCTGGCTGCTCCAACGACACCAAGCTTGAGCCGTTTCATCACAAACCCACCGGCGATGATCCCCAAAGCTACTGCTGGCAGGTTCAAAATACCTGTGTGAGTGAAAGGAAACAACTTTATTTGAAAATTTAATATTGGTGACCAACCAACCAACCAAACACTGGCCATCTCAGGTTAGAACAATTTGTATTTCAACAAAAGCAATGTTGAACAGCTGTTCAGACAAAGAGTCATAAAGTGATGTTTACAGCAACTCAACTTGACAAACATTGGCACAAAAGAAGAGCCCACAGGGAGACATTTAGTGGTTACATTTTAAGTTGGTTTTATCACACACAATCACACTTCCTTACAATAACATCATTGTTTTATTGCACGGAGGGAACGTACCGATGAGAAAAATAGCCTTGGACGCTGCCTGGCCGTAGACCTGCTCCATGTGTTTTGGCTTGAAGGTGATCAAGCCGACGAAGCCGTTGACGGCGACCAGATTGAGGAGGATAATCATGGTGTATATGTTGTTTCTGAATAGTCTTTTCAGGGATGGAAGAAAATCTAGAGAATGAGGCACAAAGTTAAACAAAGTTGCCTTTCTTCACATTTTGTTGCTATTTTTCTCGACTTATTGGATTTCTCTAACAAAAAGCTACAACTATGATACATAATGGTTTTAGAAACGTTTATATAGTATGTTGTATTTGGAACAACTCTCTCGTATTGCTTATCAGAATAGGTCAAAACGCTTAAAAAACACTTTTGGGAGCCTTTTTCTTGAGTTACCTTGAACCATTTCTCTGAATGTGACTGGCTTCTCCTTGTCACCTCCATGGGTTTCGTCTGGCAGGAAATTCTCCTGTTCTGCCACAGCGGTCAGCTCTGTGTTTTTGTTCTTGCTATTCTCTTGCCCCTGTTTGGGCAGAGACTTGGGAAGAAAGAAGAAGGGGATACTCGACAGCAGGATCACTGTGCCGCTCAATATGAATCCCAGCCACCAGGCTCCCACCCAGCGAGAGTCCTTATAGGTAATGCTGATGCTGTCTGGGAGAAAAGTAAGGACGATAAGTGGAACAGGTTCATTGCAGTGAACTTTAGATGCCTTTATGAACAGTTTAACCCTCAGTTCAAATCATGTTAGTTAACTTGTGCTACTGTGTCAACAGAGTGACCTGTTGCAACCCTTGCTCATTGACAAATGTTTTTTTTTCTTTTAGTAAAAGGTCTTAAAGGTTAAAAACTGGAAAAAACGTTAACTATTTTCCTCTTAGCTTGGAAAAACTATGTTAAAAACCAACCAAAGGTCCAGTCTGGCTTAAAAAATGGCTTAAAGATTGGTTTAATATTTGTCCATTTTGAATCATTAATTAATAAATGGGCATAAGCACATTATGCAATGGTCTAGACTGGTTAAAAATTGGTCTAATCTAATTTAATTAAAGTTCTTGAATTGTTAATGGGAAAAAATACATATTGCACAGCAGCCAAACATCTGGCCTGGTCATTTTTAATCAATCAGACTTATTTAAATGGGTCTTTAATGGGCAAAAATTACATCCTGAACACCAACAAAAGTTCTTGTCTGTTTGAAATATTGCTCAGAACTTTATCTGTCATGGCTTCCTAACTGGGTCTATAAAGGGAAAAGCAACACCAACAAAAATCTAGTTTAAAATTACGTGAACAGTAGTCTAACAAATATTAGTTTAATGTTTAACAGTCCATGCTTCTTCAATAGGTCTTTATAAACAAAAATCTATATTACACACTAACCTAAAGTCTAGTCTAGTTGAAATTTTGGTCTCATTTGTCTCAGTCTTCATTGAGAAAAAGTGCATATTAAATGCCAACCAAAGGTTTAACCTGGTTGAAATTTCCTAGCTTCTTGAATGGGCTTTCAATGAGGAAAAAGTAACTAAAGCACACCAAACTACGTGTAGTCTGGTTGAACTACTGACCTAATCAAGGTTACGCCGACATAATAATATATTACTAATATTATGTAAAGATAATCAAAATTATGTGTTACAGTAGACAAAGTATAAATTAATGTTTTTCAGAAGTCACATACCTAAATCGACAAATCCAATGTCGACGTAGATCTTGCTGATATAAGACCCCATCATGTACCCGACCATAGGTCCCAACATTCCCACTGTATGGATGAAGGCTGATACAAAAAAAGTGGGAAAAGGAAACAAATTATGTTTAGAAAATTGTGAATTTGAAACAATATTTTGAAGATCAATGGCTCACTGGTCATGACAGTAAGCAAAACACAGTTTGTTGAAAAATAAAAACGACAAACCCAAATAAAAAGGAGTGTTCTCGTGTCTGGAAAAGTCATCCAGGTAGGACACCCCCAAAGGCATAATGGGAGTCTCTCCAATTCCACGCAACATGTTTCCCAAGAAAACATAGATCCACATGGACGAGCCGACTGCCTTCTCACAGGCTGAGGGGAAGAAAAATGGACTTGAGTGGACTGGTTCACAATCAAATCTAAAATGGGAAATCATAAAATGGTAATTAAGTAGTAAAAACCTTTCATGGTGGCAACATCAGGTGTCTCATTGGCGTCTGTTACAGTGTGATTGGTCAAACAGGGCAGGATGTTCTCAGTGCTGTTGACCTGAGTGTTGTGAGACATGCTGGTCTCGTATTTATACCTGGGAAATATTGAGAGGGACAGTATGTCAAGGGTTCGGGTGCGGCTCAATACACAGTGCTGTTTCTGAACTGCATCGGTGTAGACAAGAAATGAAGAGCAAGTAAACTGGGTACTGACGTTCCCTGGAAGAAGTGAGGCATTGCTATAAGGAAGGACCCGGTGGACATGATTAAACAACCAATACCAATTAGTCTCGGTCGATGGAGCTTTGCACCAAAGTAGCTCACAAAAGCAATAACCAACAAGTTTCCTGGGAAGGACAAAGCACATGAATAAATAAGGAAAAATGACTGTCGCCTTAAAAGAAAGGTTGAGAAATTTAACTGCGCGTACCGATTTCAAAGCTGCCATCTATAAACCCGATCAGAGAGCTGGGGATGTTGAAGCGCCGCTCTATCTGGGTGATGGAGCTCTTCATGTAGGATCCACCGAAAGCTTTGGCAAAATACACAAATGCCAAAGAGACCAAAAACAGCTGTGAAAACACATGAGAAAGGTTAATTTGTTGCAGAAATATGTAACAATATAATGTACGATTTGTTCTTCAAGGAGTCAAACCGTTGTTTTTTTTCTTTGTGTGTTTTGTTTTAGAAATTTGAAGTTTATTTTTGATTAAACTTATTTATCTAAGAAAAGGGGCAGATATTAAAAGATTTTGTCTTCTTCTGCTACCTTTCATTTACACAGCAGGTAAAATAAGTATTGAACACGTCACCATTTTTCTCAGTAAATATATTACTAGAGGTGCTAATGACATGAAATGTTCACCAGATGTTGGTAACAACCCAAGTGATCCAAACATACAAAGAAATCAAACCATAAATGACCAGAAATGAAGTTATTTGTAATAATGTGGAATGGCACAGGGAAAAAGTATTGAACACATGAAGAAAGGGAGGTGTAAAAAGGCATGGAAAGACAAGACACCAGCTGAACTCTCTCAGTAATTAGAAAGCAAGCCTGCCCCTTGTCAGTGCAAACTGAAATCAGCTGGTTCAGTCCCAAATGATGGCCAGGTATCACACAAGAACCATCTGATGATGGGTAAAAGTAAAGAGCTCTCTCAAGACCTTCACAACCTTATTGTTGCAAAGCATAATGATGGCATCGGTTACAGAAGAATGTCTAAACTTCTGAAGGTTCCAGTGAGCACTGTTGGGGCCATAATTCAGAAGTGGAAAGAACATCATTTCACCATAAACTGACCACGACCAGGTGCTCCTCACAAGATTTCTGACAGAGGAGTGAAAAGAATTATCAGAAGAGTTGTCCAAGAGCCAAGGACCACTTGTGGAGAGCTTCAGAAAGACCTGGAATTAGCAGGTACGATTGTTTCAAAGAAAACAATAAGTAATGCACTGAACCACCATGGCCTGTATGCACGCTCACCACGCAAGACTCCACTGCTGAAGAAACAGCATGTTGAAGCTCCTTTAAAGTTTGCTGCACAACATTTAAACAAGCCTGTGTAATACTGCACTGTCAGAAAATAGGGTACAGTAGGAGTACATTTTTGTTTATTCTAAGTTTTGTACCCCTATAGAGCTAATAATTGTACCTTACAGTACATATTTGTACTTTTTGAAGGCTTGAAATGTACATTTATGTTCCCAAGTACTTAATGGTACATATAAGTACCCTGTATTGATGATTTTAGGGTACAATATCAGAAGATGGACATTGAAGCAATAAGTCATATTAGATAAATGTAATTTGATGGTAATATTTAAAGACTTTTGAAAAAACTTTGGGAAGTATTCTTGAGTAACAAATAAATAAAGACATAAATAACTAGCTAATGCAAATATAAATAACACTTAGATATTAAAAACAATAAATACACTAAATCTACTTATAACATTTAAATTACTTAAGCCTACATTTTTTTGTTTGTTTGCACTTCGAAGAAGCTCTGACGCTGGTAGTCTATGTAGAYAATAATGTGGGTTTACACACCCCAGAACCGAACATTTTGACTTCTGGACTTGCATTTTCGGCGTGACGCTATGAACTACAAAATCACACAGCGAGGAAAAAAATGGCGGACTATGAAATCCAGTTGGCTGGAAATACATCACCATAAATGGTAGTTCCGAAGAAAAAAGTGTGACGAAATAAGCAAAGAAACAAAATAAGCAACAGCAGATTTTGAACAAAGTGAAAAATATGACCCATAAAAAATATCTTTGCAGTAACAGGACAGAATAAATTAAAGTTTTCTACACTCCTAGACACTATAATTGCACAAAAAATAGTTTATAAATGCAAAAAAAGTGCATTTAGCATGATATGTCTCCTTTAAGATTGATTTAAAGCTGCTCAATATGGTAAATAAATACCACTCGTAGTAATCCTGACCGGAAACAAAACTACTTATTCTGCCTTAGTTAAACAAAATAAATCCTTTAAAAATGTTTTTTTTTTTTGTTTATCCAAGACAAAAAAAAATAAAAACTTTATTTTTAAGTTGAAACAGGATGCTGGTGTCAGTTCATTAGTATAAACCAAAATTATGTTTTAAAAAACTCAAGATTTTTTTAAAAATAAATCTTAGACGACCAAGGAACTGATCAAGCTGGTTTTAGCTAAATTGACTAGCGAGCTGCGGCTATCCACTAAACAATTTAGCATTAAGAACCAAATGTTTCTTATAGGTTTTATTAATAATGTGCAGACTTGGTCCATTTTGTGTAAAACTATTAAGATAATATTTTAGAGCTGCTTAAAATATTGTTTGTAAAACAAGAGAAAGAGCCGATTAAGCTAATGTTAGCTTAATTGACCAGCAAAATCCACAAATCAGACAGAATGTTTTTTGGGCCAATTTGACATGAGTAGTATTTAGAAAAATAAAAAATAATTTCAGAAGCAAAAATTTAATCTTCTTGTAAAATGCACAAAAAAATGTAACATTTTGTAAATTTCCCCCCTTGATGCTCACAGATATCTTAAATTTGCGCAGCCATACGATGGATTGACACAACGATCAATGATTAACAGGGATTTGCCGTAACCTGTAGGTCACAGATTGTACCGTATATATGACTCAGCAATATTTATTCCGGCGTTCGAGGTTTTACTGATGCCTTTTCAAATAATCATTATCAGAAAGCCAATAAACTGTAATTACTGACCGACTGTCACCAAATAAATCCTCATAAAGAGTTCCTTATGGAAAAAAAGTCCATTATTAAAAGAAATTGGGATTTTTAAACATTCGTGAGGACTTTCTTATACTTCGCAATACAGGCAAATTTTAACATTTCACTCACCTTCAGCTTTGAGCAACAAGCCTTCTGGGTTTGTTTGGACTCCACACTCATGATGTTGCCGTTTTAGTTGATTAAAGCAGAATAAGAAAAAGTAAACCTGCAACAACAACAAAAAAAAAAAAACATTTTAAAGCAGAGGAAGTCTAGAATAAATAGTTATCTTTCATCAATATCTGGTCATTTCTGGTTTTATTTAATCCTAGTGCACAAAATACTGTTAATATACATTGAAAAGCCTTCCTCTGACCATCCTTACGTGAGGTTTTAATGTGGTAAAAAGCAGATCATTACCTGTGAGTCGATGTGATGGATCCCAGCTGAAGACTTCTTGTACCTCACAGGACTTTGTGTCCGAAGCTAGTCTCTTATCGCCACAATTATAAAATCAACTGTAATCAGTAACTCAGCCACTGGTGTTGATCGAGTCAATAAAGAAGGCCATCCAATCCTGGCAGCCAGACTCACAACAGACACACGGAGCGGGCCGATTGTTTGACCGTCAGGGAAAAGTTCAGAGGTTCTCTGAGTACAAACACACACGGACGTTCAGTGTCTCAAACATCCTCCTCTGTGAACATCACAGGACTCCCGAGTGTCACAAACAGCAGGCTGGGACCACAATAAGCTTTGTTTGTTGTCGTACGAGCCTGCTGTTTCTGTTAGTTTGCCCGTTTCAAAGAAAGAAGCGCTTTCCTCTCGCAGAGAAATGTATTTTTTTTTTGTAAGACTTGGTGCTTCCAAGACYCCCATCAAAGCCTTCCTGTACTAACAGGCGCTTCCTGCCAAACAATGGCTTTCCCCCCTAACGTCCACCACATCTGAACACCTTTATTAAACTCAGGTAACACTGGGRCCTGTGAGCATCCTCGCACACACACAGGACCCCTCTCCCTGGGATACACCAGGGCCGTGGAGGGCCTAGACCCTCCCCCAACTGAACTCCATGACTTTTGCTCCAGAACCAAGTCTGTGTGAAGGTTATCTGCTTTGRATCGCTCAGACACACACAGCAGCTCAGCCTCTCTTTGTCTGAYCTGATCTGAGTTAATCAAGACTTGTTGATCATGAAGCTTTTTTACATTAACCAGGTTTGAACAGGAGTCAGAATCTGACATTATATACAAAGAGACAGTCTGAGGACACATGCACATAGACAGAGACAGATGGACGGGCAGATAAAAAGACTTAAATGGATAAATATTTTTGTTTAGCTGTCACTTTATTTCTGTGGAACCTTTTTCATCAAATAACCACGAAATGTGAAAGAAACAATCGGCCGCAATGAGGGGGAAATAAATAATTACATCCAAATTTTTCCTCTTTTTTTCTCTAAAGCGTCACTCAGTTTTTCGTCTGATTCCTCTACAAGGCCACATTTTTATAAGTCATACAAAGAAATATTATCTGAGGCTGGAAGAGTAAGGACTCATGTAATATCATTTTCAGCCAGCAGAGGGAGCCGTCAGGTTTTAAATGAGGTTTCATATTCTGTTTGTCAGCAACACATTTCATGAACCACTGCACATATTTTAGTCAAACTCAGAAATKAATAACAGGCTGGACGTCTACAAGTGACCAACGTTTGGATGCTGCAGTTAATCCAACGTTACAAACATAAAAATGGCTCCAATTCAGATAATTTTACAGATGTTGAGTCTTAAATTTGGTCTGGCAGTGGCTGAGAGTTATCCCAAACAAATACTCTGAGGTTTGTTTGGAACCTGGGCCTGAGAGGCTGTAGGTGTCCTGTCCTTCGTCAGAACATTATCTCACTGTGGATCATAAACACAGCAGAGGAAAGATCTTTGAAATGCTCACAACTTTTTGAGTTTTGGACCTGTTTCAACTTGAGAGCAAGAGGTTCTTTTGTCTCTATGTGCAGTTTTTTTTCTCTTATTCAAATTAAACCGAAAAGAAACACATTGTCGACTCTAAAACAATTTAGAAACATAAAAGTTCAGACTCATCCAATCTGAATTTTGAAGTGTATTTTATTTTATGTTGATCCAAATAAAATGACTTCATTAAAATAACAAATGACTGATTTAAAAAAATAAAAAAAMCAGAAAATATTTTTCCAATCATGTCTTAAGTTTGATTAGGTGAGCTTTAGTTTAAAAAATAAAAAGTTTCCATTAGTTTTGAACTCTTTACGGCCCCAGAGGTACTGCGGTGGTGTTACAAGCTCTGCACTCACAGCTGGTGATGTAACCGTACTCGTACTGCCTGCTGATGAGGTCGAAGCACTTCAGCGCCATGAATCTCCTCTCCGAGCTCTGCGCCTGACAGCAGCTGTGCTCCTGATGAACCTGGATGTCGTTGCTTATTGTCACGCTGTCGGAGGGGACCACACAAACCGTTAGCCTTTGAAAACGCTTCCTGTTGAGATGTCGACGGCTGTTCTTACCTGGGCTGCGTTGAACACAGACCCTGACACACGGGTATCTGCAAGACGGCTCTGCAGCTCTGAACGGTGAYGTTCAGCGTGAATATTTTGGGAGCGCAGGAATAATTACCTGGAGTTGGAGACAGTGACAGCATCAAAAGAAATCTTCACTTGTTTGGGTCAATTTTAGGGAAAAAAGAGGGAAATCATAAAAAAAAAGAAAATGCAAGTTGGAAGTTTGTGACCTGGAGTTATCAAAAGAATGCAGAAAATTTGCACATTTTAATTCTGTAACTTTTGCAAAGGGAAACGTGCGCCTCAAACTGTGCTGCCAACCAAATGAAGTCAATCTGTGCTGAAAAAAAAAGGTAACAAATCTTGAAATATCTTGCTAACCCCTGCCAGGAAACGCTGCGTACCACTAAACTAAACTAAGCAGTGGTGGACATGATTCCGCTAATCAGCTAAAAGTGGAATAGTTATTTCACTAACATTTAAAACCGTTAGTGGACCAGTAAGTTTAGCACAAAATTAGGTTTGCCAAACTTTAGGTCCACTAACAGCTAACTAACAAGCTCGCCTTAACAGGTTTGTGTCCCTTCAGTCTTCAGCTCGAAGGAGACGAAGATGTGCAACGCAGACTGAGTGACAGTTGTTTTAGCGGTTAGCTGTTAGCTTCTGCTAATTTTTACTACTTAGCTGTTTAGAATGAACTATTCTTTTACATTAGCAAGGTTTTAGTTAGCAGATTGTGAATTAGCAAAGCTAACGTTTTGATTAGCCGTGTCCACCACTGCTCACAAAGTAGCAAAGATGGTCCTGAAAGCTTTAACTTATTTTAAATAAGCCATTTCATTCCTCCTCGACATGGTGAGCCAGATATTTAGTTCTTCTAGACTTTGAACTCACTGGGAGGATATTTTTTTTTGGTTTCACTTCTGAACCTGCTGTTTGTAGCAAAAAGTCAAGTATAAATGGCGCTAAGATAGCTCTGATGTGAAGCGTGTAATTAGCGCCGTTAGCTCTGTGGATGCAGAGAGGGCGCCGATGATGAGCAAAAACAGAATCAGGTGTTTTTAGTGTATTTGGGTAGCCTGGCCCTWGCCTTCCTACGCAGTTACGCTCAGTTCTAGTTTCCCTTTTCTGCTCCGTCTGGGATTTCTCCCAKAGACGAGGATTTCTTWAGGAGAATTTCGTTCGGGCCAATCAGAGAACAGAATGTTGATTTTCTGCRCAGTGTCTGYTAGTTATTTTAGCACACGGCAGTGGAGGAAGTGAATGAAGCCAGTCCGCGTTGATAAGGCTTCCAAATTAAATTAAATTTGTCTGACAAAGCAGCAGCTCTCATTTACAGTCGTCTCGTTCAGCTCGGTATATTTCTCCTCTCAGTAGGGTTGTTTACAGCACGCGATTTCTGGTTAGCTTCTTAGCTTAGCCTGCTTCACAGTGGAGCTGGCACACACATACGTCGCGGCCAACAGATCCAATCGTTTTAAACTTCAGCAGAGGCCACGCCTCCAGAAAGAATCGCTTCTCTATAGCCGAGAGTCCAGACCCTCTGTACGAAGCAAAGTGAAGGACAAGGGTCTGGTTTTTACCAGGTTAGCATTTGGATCACTTAATGCAAGAAATTAAAATCTGGATTGCTGAAAGGTGAATGACAGATAACAAGTAGCACAAATTACCTGTTTGTTTTTAATTCTTTTTACTTACAGGAGAAGCAGCAGTGCTGATCGTCCCAAACTCTGTCCTCCTGTTAAAGAAAAACCACACATCAGGTGCTTTACAAACCAAATTCTTTCAAAACAAACTCTAATGAAAGATTTCTCCATAGTGTTTATGTGAGATGCCCCTTCCTGACACAACCTGGGCTCAAACCTGCAGCCACGAGACTACGAGACCACGACACTGACCACCGAGCTACCGTAGCACCAGCGGTGCCACTGGTGTAAATGTGAATAAATTCAGCGTAAAACCGGGCACCTCCGAGCAGCTTTCTGAGGGACAGACTCTTCTTTCAGTCTGAACTCCCTCGGTGGTGCAGGTGAAGGACAAGCAGGGCTGAGCAGCATCTTTCCACTGCTCTCCCACCTACAAACAACAAAAACAGACGTGAAGAGGAGAAACTGGACAACACCATCACCCATTTATTATGAGATCATATGACGTACTTTGAAGGTCTGTCCAGGATAACTGCAGGTCTTTTCAACTAAAAGAAAAAAAAAGGGAAAACGTTCACTAAAAAGGAGGCCTGGTGCAACTTTTCTTTAGAGCTGAAGTCCAACTTCTCAGCTCTTACCACAAATCGGATCACCACAGCAAGTGGTGTTTACCAAAACGGTCCCGGCGGAGCATATCGGAGTCGGCTGGGTGGGTTTTGGCACGCACTCCTCGGTCGAGGTCTGGTTGTTACATGTGCACACGTGGCACTCAGACTCCCACACCTCACCCGGCTGGAAAAACAGGCACAGAAACTCTTTTAGTTTGCAATGAACAAACTGGAAACAAATCAGAAAAAATACTTACTAGTTTGGGTTCTCCGAGTGGTCCTTTACAGTCTGCAGGGAAAAAATACTCTCGTTAACGCACAAAACTTAGAAAACAGGAATGACGTCACTTGTGCGCACCGCAGTACTCACAGTTGCATTTTCCCACGCAGACGTCCGAGTGGGTTCCTGCTCGGATGAGACCAGGAGGACAGAAACAACCGGCGCTTTTCTTATCGAGGTTTGTTCCTGGATAACGAACTCTATAGACAGAAAAATAAAACCAAACATAAAAATTAATAACAAGAAGGTGAAGGAAACAAATGAGAGAATAATGTAATAATTTACAAACCCGCCCAAGCAGTAGTCGCCGATATTCTTTTGGCATTCCTTGTAAACCAGACCATCTGGACAGGAGACATCTGAGCCGTGGAGACGATAATCAGCAGGTCTGAATGACTGGACTCAGCGTCGGACAGAGAAGTTAAAAACCTACCACAGACTCCAGCCGTCAGTCCTCTCCAGTCGAYGCAGAAACCGACACTTTTGCACTCCTCTGCAGCTTGAGTCAGAGCGAAGCAGGAAGCGTTTGGGTTGGTGCACGAATCGAACTTACAATTCTTCTTCTTTGTCTCCAGATCCACGACCTTGCTGCAGTTTGAAAACACCCTGTGGGAGGAAACGAGTCGACTTGTTATTTAGCTACGGTTAACGCCAAACGTCTGTCRGCGTGACGAGCCTACGAGTGGTCCAGCAGGTCACAGAACGGGTTGGGCAGACACGTTGGGGGCGATTGAGTGCTGAGCACAGAATGGCAGGACACGTTCGTTGGGGCGGAGGAGCAGTTTGGCTTGGAGGGGTCGTCGTACAGCCAGTCGAAAGCCGTCTTCTCGCAGCAGGTGTCGTCTTCKATCTGCCCTCCTTTACGGACACAGGAAGCGCCGCCGCACACACCTGAAACCAAAAAATATAACGAGTCGGAACAACAAAAGACCCGTTAAAGAGTGGTGCTAATGAGGCGTGGCCGGGTCAGAACCTACCACACTGTCCCTGGGTGTTGTTCACGAAGTGCTCCATGGCGAGATTGACCACCAGGTTGAAGGACGGCGACAGAGAAACGAAGGAGCGGATCTCTGCAATGGAGATGAACGCCACAAAACCGGTGGTTTCAAACCTCAGCCCGTCCTTTTCGAACGGCGGTTGTACGGCCGYGTTGTTCAGTTTGGCCTGAGGCGGATCAGATCAGGAGTAAAACTTCGGCAAAACATCCTGACATGGTTTGTAAAAAAAGTAAAAACGCATCAAACCTCTATTGTGAAGGACTCCGTGGTATAGAGCGTAGCTGTGCTGTTCTGGTATTTGAGGATGACGCCTCTGACGCAGCTGCCCAGTACGCCCGACAAGCAGTAGAAGTTGTCCACGGCGATGGTCAGGTGGTAGCGTGGCGACCGCTCCTCTACCAGAACGTAGGTGCACTCTTCCAGGAAATCGAATGCCAGGCCTTGGAAAGTGATGTAGTGCGGGTCTCCGTACAGGTCGCAGCGACCTGCGAAAGTTGACAATAAAAAAAGGGTTTTAGTTGACGGCAACAGAAACCAGGGAATGACTGAAAAATGGCACGATGGCGTCTACGCTCACAGTTGCACGTCAGCGTTTCACAGCATCCGTCCGTGATTTTGGTGACCTGATTTCTGGGACAGGAAGGAACAACAGACTGTGGACAAACCACCGAGGTCAGCTGTATTCTCCCATCTACGCAGGTCTTATGGAAGCAGTCCTCTGTCCACATATCGCCACAGGACCAGGTCAGTCCCCTTCTTAAATCAGTGCAGATACATTTTGGTGTTGTTGGCTGAGCTGTAGAAGACAGTGACGATAAAAAAAAATCGGATTATCAGTAAAAGTTGCAGCAAGGATGACCGATAAGGTTGAAATTTTGCAACTTTTATACAACCTACTTATTTACTTTTGTAATAAAAATAAAAAAAGCTAGTTTTTGATGTTTAAACTGTGCAAGAAGTGTAAAAATCTGCATTAAACCACAGATTTGTGTCTCCCACTCTGTAACAGACAACCTAATGAGAGGCAGACACGCAGAGTAAAAGACAAGTCTCAAACTAAAGGTTGTTTAAAAACTAAAAGTTGTTTAATAAAAAAACTCATTAATCGCACCTGGAATGTTTCTGGACCAGTTTTCATCAAAGTCTGGTGAAAATATGGTGTTTCGCCCTCAAGTGACTCATACAGTCACCATTTTAACATACGACACAACTTTTACATAACGTGATAATTTTTACATACCGTTATAATTTTAATATACAACATAACTTTTACATAACGTGATAATTTTTACATACCGTCATAATTTTTACATACCGTCATAATTTTAACAAACGACATAACTTTTGCATACCGTGATAATTTTTACATACCGTCATAATTTTTGCATACGACATAACTTTTACATACTATCACAACTTTTAGATACCGTCATAATTTTAACATACGATGTAACTTTTACATACTGTCATAATTTCAACATTTGACAATATTTCAATTCAATTTAATTCAAAAATAGTTTATTGATCCCAGAGGGAAATTAGGTGACATAGTGACATATATGGTGACATATTTACACAGTTTTATATGCAGTCACCATATTTTGATACCGCGGTAAACCAAAATACAGTCATACTTTTCAAGCCTACAATGGAAGTCAATGGGAGTAGGATTTGAGTGCTAYGCATTTTGGAGGATTTAAAGAAAAAATATTAATTTTATAACAGTGAGAAACTCACTGAATGTAATGGGACATAGTTGGATGCATAAACTGTATAAGTGTAAAGTTGTGGTAAAAGACGTTTCAACAGCTAAAATTATTATGAAATCACACTCCAAGATGACCATTCCATAATAAAAACTTTATAAAACTATATAAAATTATCAAAATTATAAAGTTTGACCAGGTTCCACCAAGTCCAAGGTAGACGTGAATAGAATATACCTGCGTAATAAACAAGTATGGGCCAGACCTGGCAATGTGTCACTGTTTTGAAGGTGGCATGCCAAAACTGTACCAGTTGTGGTTTGGTTATCACTGTAGGTGTACTGTATTGTGTGAGCCAGAACAGGGCAAGACAATTTTTTACTATGAACTAATTCTCTAATTCTTGGTGCAGATAACACCAACAACAATGGCTCTTTGGTGGCCCAGATGTAGTTTGCCAGAGGTGGGCCAGCAACACATAAAAAACCCACCACCAAACCAGTTGGGGATTGACATAGTATCTGGGTCACATAAACCAAACCACAGTTGGGCCAGTTATGGAATACCATCATATAAACGRTGCCATCATTGCCAGGTTTGGCAGACACCTGTTCGTTAAATGAGATAAACTGAAGAATAATGCTCTGAATCTCTGAGAATAAAGAACTCACCAGTTGACCGAGTGTATCCTGTTGTCAGCTGAGTTGTAGATTCAGTCGTAGGYTGCATTGTTACCAAGGTCTTCACAGTTGTGGGTTGTGCTGTTGCCAAGGTTGACGTAACTTCAGTTGTGGGTTTCGTTGTTACTGAAGTCACTGTAGCTTCAGTTGTAGGTTGCGTTGACGGTGTCGTGGTAGCTTCAGTCGTAGGTTGTGTTGTTACCGGTGTCATGGTAGATTCAGTCGTAGGTTGTGTTGTTACCGGTGTCATGGTAGATTCAGTCGTAGGTTGTGTTGTTACCGGTGTCATGGTAGATTCAGTC